GCCCGCCTCGCGCGCTGGACGCTGGGCTTCTGCGACGAGCGCCTGGTGCCCTTCGAGCACCCCGAGAGCACGTTCGGGCTGTACCGGGTGAGCGCGGGGTCACGCGGGGGCCGCGGCCCGCATCCCCGCCCCGCGGTCTCCAGGCCTCCAGGCCGCCTCTGGGTTGGTTGTCGGGGGCTCGGGCTCGGGTCCCTACGGATCCGGACGTCCTGTCTCACAAACAGGGAAACTGAGGCACGGAGGAGCCGCGGCCCTCCCTGCCGTCTATACGCGGGAGCCGCGGCGGGCTTTCCCGGGAGCTCCGTGGGGCGATCTTCGCGGTGGCGTCGCCGGTGACATTGTCCCTCCGTCCGCACAGACGCACCTGCTCTCCAGACTGCCCGTCCCCGCCAGCCAGGTGCTCAGCATCGACCCCGCGCTGCCGCTAGAGGCGGCGGCCGAGGACTACGCGACCAAGCTCAGACAGGTGGGCGGGGCTGGAGGGCGGGGCGGGGCAAGACGGAGGTGTAGCCCGGGGGCGGGGCTGGCGGGGGAGGGGCGGGGCTAGGTGGGGGAGGGCGGGGCAAGACGGAGGGGTAGCCTGTGGGCGGGGCCGGCAGGGCGGCTCAAGTGGTAGAGCGCTAGCCTTGAGCTGAAGAGCGCAGCGACAGCGCCCAGGCCCAGAGTTCAAGACCCACGACTGACAGAAGAAAACCAACACAAAAATGTCGATTGTTCTGTGGCAGCTGCAGCACCCACGGGAGGGGGGCTGGCTCCAGCGGCAGAGAACCGTGGCCCGGAGGTCGACCTCTGACCCCTGCTCTTCCCCACCAGGCCCTGGGAGATGACGCCATTCCAGTGTTTGACCTGCTGATCCTGGGCGTGGGCCCCGATGGCCACACCTGCTCCCTCTTCCCCGGACACCCCCTCCTGCAAGTGAGCACCAGACTCACCTTCCAGCCCACTCCGCCTTCTGAGACTCAGTTTACCCATCTTAACACATTCGGGTGAAGCCGGATGCCAGCAGCTCACGCCTATAATCCTAACCACTCAGGAGGCTGAGATATGGAGGGCTTTGCCTTGAAGCCAATCAGCCCAAGCAGAAAGATTCTCCACATCCCACCTGCAAACAGCCAGCAAAAAGCTGGACTGGCCGGGTGTCTGAGGCTCACACCTGTAAGCCCAGCTGTGCGTGAGGCTGAGATCTGAGGATCGAGGTTCATTGCCAGCCCAAACAGGGAAGTCCACAAGATGGCTTTGGGTTTCTAATTTTTTTAAATGTTGATTGTGGGGCTTGAACTCAGGGCCTGGGCTCTGTCCCTAAGTCTCTTTGTGCTCAAGGCTACTGCTCTACCATTGAGCCACATCGCCACTTCCAGTTTTTGAGTGGTTAATTGGAGATGAGAGTCTCATAGGGACTTCTCTGCCTGGGCTGGCTTTCAACTGAAATCCTCCGATGTCAACCTCCTGAGTAGTTAGGATTACAAGTGTGAGCCACTGGCAACTGGCTCCATGTTATCTCCAATTAACTACCAAGAAAGTCAGAAGTGGAGCTGTGGCTCAAATGGTGCAGTGCCAGCCTTGAGCAAAAGGGATGGGAGACAAGCCAGGCACTGATGACTTAATCCTAGTTACTCAGGAGGTTGAGATCTGGGAATCACAGTTCAAAGCCAGCCCAAGGCAGGAAAGTCTGTGAAACTCCACTAAACCACCACAAAAAAAAAAGTAGAGCTGTGGTTCTAGTGTGGTAGAGTGATAACTTTGAGCAAAGGAAGCTTGGCTGGCACCCAGGACCTGAGTTCAAGCCTCAGAAGCAGCACACACACACACACACACACACACACATACATGCACACGGCTAGAGTCGAGGCTTGGCTCACATACTAGTGACCCAGCCAAACAAGTTTGAGATGTGAAGTTCAAATGGAGGCACCAGCAAAAGAAAACAAACCAGCCAACCCACTAAGGTGGGGATGGGCCAAGTACATGCCTTGCCCATGGAACACCCCATTTCACCCCAGCCCTGCAGAAACTAGACAAAATGAGTGACCTGGTCTTGTCCTGTCCCCACAGGAGCGAGACAGGATTGTGGCCCCCATCAGTGACTCCCCGAAGCCGCCGCCCCAGCGCGTGACCCTCACCCTGCCTGTGCTCAATGCCGCACGGACCGTCGTCTTTGTGGCCACTGGGGAAGGCAAGGCTGCCGTCCTGAAGGTAACAGCTGGAGATCCAGTTGGGGGTGCTGGGGTGGAATATGGGCCAGGCACCGCTGTGGGGGGCGGATGGAAAGATTCCCCAGTAATTCTTGGATTGAAGGAAAGTGAAAGCTATGATTAGAGGCTAGTTAGGAATTCCCAGCAAGAAAGCAAAGTTGGTAAGATAAGGCCAAAGTGGCACCCAGAGGCAAATTCATAGCATTAAAAGTGTGTGTGTGTGTGTGTGTGTGTGCGTGTGTGTGTGTGTGTGTGTTAATGAAGTAGGGAATAAACACTTTTCTAAAACTAGAAGGCCAATAATGAAAATGTAAGAAGAGTTAACAGAAATAATAAAAATCAGATGAGTGGGGTACCAGAGGCTCATTCCTGTCATCCTAGCTACCCAGGAGGCTGAGATCTGAGGATCAAAGTTTGAAGCCAGCCAGGGCAGGAATGTCCATGAGAACAGGGCTGGGAAGGTGGCTCAGTGGTAGAGCGCTTGCCTTGCATGCATGAGGCCCTGGGTTCGATTCCCCAGCACCACATAAGCAAAAAGAAAAAAAAAAAAACGGAAGTGGCACTGTGGCTCAAGTGGTAGAGTGCCTTGAGCTGAAGAGCTGAGGGACAGCACCCAGGCCCAGAGTTCAGGCCTCACAACCGGACCCCCCAAAAAACAGAAAAAAAAAAGGAATGTCCATGAGATTTTTTTTTTTGTCAGTTGTGGGGCTTGAACTCTGGGCCTGGGCTCTGTCCCTGTGCTCTTCAGCTCAAGGCGAGTGCTCTACTGCTTGAGCCACAGCATGTTTTTCTAGTGGTTTTTGTTGGAGATAAGAGTCTCAGGGACTTTCCTGCCCAGGCTGGCTTTGAACTGTGATCCTCAAATCTCAGCCTCCTGAGTAGCTAGGATTACAGGCATGAGCCACTGGCGCCCGGCTCCATGAGATTCTTATTTCCAGTTAACCACCAAAAGACTAGAAGTGGCCCTGTGGCCCAAGTGGTAGGACACTAGCCTTGAGCCAAAAAGCTCAGATAGTGCCCAGGCCCTGAGTTCAATCTCCAGGACACACGGACACACACACACGTCAGAAGTTGAGGAGCTGCTTTAATAGTTTTTGAAAGCTTGCCGGGCACTGGTGGCTCACGCCTGTAATCCTAGCTACTCAGGAGGCTGAGATCTGAGGATCGAGGTTCAAAGCCAGCCCGGGCAAGAGAGACCGTGAGACTCCTATCTCCAATAAATCACCAGAAAACTGGAAGTGGCGCTGTAGCTCAAGTGGTAGAGCGCTCGCCTTGAGCTGAAGAGCTGAGGGACAGCGCCCAAGCCCAGAGTTCAAGCCCCGCAACCAACCAAAAAAAAAAAAAATAGTTTTTGAAAGCTTATTATAAATAGGCATGCTTTTTCTAAACACTATCAGACCCACAGGGGTTTGATTTGCCTCTGGGCAAATCCAAATCCCAAACCTTGGAGCTCCGGTTTAGCGGCAGGTGGAAAGTGTCCTTCACACATTTGTGGGCCTGTCTGGCCTCTCATTTGCCTATGCAAATGGCCCCAAGGCAGAGAAGTTTTTCCTGTGGTGGCGTCTGGACTGAGGGTCTCTCAGCCAGTGCCCACCCTTCCCTGACCCCTGGGGGGTCCCCATACACTGGGGGGCACTGGGGAAGGGTCCTGGGGTGCTGGGGTGTGGTCCCCCACCTTGTCCTCACCACCTTCCCTGCCCCACAGCGCATCCTGGAGGAGACAGAGGAAAGCCCGCTCCCGGCCGCGCTGGTGCGGCCGCACACGGGGCAGCTCCGCTGGTTCCTGGACGAGTCGGCCGCACGCCTGCTGACGGTGCCCTTCGAGAAGCATTCCGCTTTGTAGCGGCCAGACCCCAGGCCGGGCCCCTGCTGGGCCCACGGACCATGGTGTGTGGGCCACCGGCATTAAACGAAGCTCTGCCAAAGCCCTGGCTCTGCTGTGTGGTGCTGGCGGCAAGGTGGATGTGTATGGAGACTGGCCCATCCTCTGGAGGGCGGCCTGGGCAGGAGGAAGGCATGGCCAGCGGGCCTCCATCCTGGCCTCCCGCGTCCCGGGTGCCCCCCATCCCAGTGCCCACCTCCCCCTCAGTGGCCTGTGGGCAGCCCTCCGCCACTGCCTTCCCCCCGGTGGGGTCACCTCGGCCTCCTTCAGTGCCCAGCAAGGGCCTCACTCCAGACGGGGCGTTCCTGGGGGTCCCGCGGAGTCCCGCGCCTCCACGCCTGTGGTTCCAGGCACGTGGACGCTCGCCCGGCCAAGGTGGCTGCTTGTGTTGCAGGTGTCCTCACATCCCACCACAGGAGAGAAGAGGAAAAGAGAATGAAACAGCACTGTCCACGCCTGGACACTGCACAGCCAGATGGCCCTCCACGCGCAGTGTCCACGGCCACGCAGCCCCTCCACACACGGTGTCCACAGCCACGCAGCCCCTCCACACACGGTGTTCACGGCCACGCAGCCCCTCCACGCACGGTGTCCACGGCCACACAGCCCCTCCACGCACGGTGTCCACGGCCACGCGACCCTCCGCATGCACAGCCACGCAGCCCTTCCACACGCGGTGTCCACGGCCACGCAGCCCCTCCATGCACAGCCACAGCCACGCGACCCTCCGCATGCACAGCCACGCAGCCCCTCCACACACGGTGTCCACAGCCACGCAGCCCCTCCACACACGGTGTCCACAGCCACGCAGCCCCTCCACACACAGTGTTCACGGCCATGCAGCCCCTCCACGCACGGTGTCCATGGCCACACATCCCCTCCATGCACACAGCCACGCGGCCCTCCGCATGCACGGCCACGCGGCCCTTCCACACGCGGTGTCCACGGCTACACAGCCCCTCCACACGCACAGCCACGTGGCCCTTCCACACACAGTGCCCATGGCCACGCAGCCCCTCCATGCACACAGCCTCGGCCACACGACCCTCCGCATGCACGGCCACGCAGCCCCTCCATGCACATGGCCACGTGACCCTCCGCATGCACAGCCACGCAGCCCCCCCACACGCGGTGTCCACGGCCACGCAGCCCCTCCACAAGCACAGCCACGGCCACGCAGCCCCTCCACAAGCACAGCCACGGCCACGCAGCCCCTCCATGCACACAGCTATAGCCACACGGCCCTCCCCATGCACAGCCACGGCCACGTGGCCCCTCCATGCACACAGCCACGCGACCCTCTGCATGCAGGGCCACGCAGCCCCTCCACGCATGGTGTCCACAGCCACGCAGCCCCTCCACAAGCACGGCCACGCAGCCCCTCCATGCACACAGCTATGGCCACGCGGCCCTCCGCATGCACAGCCACGGCCACACGGCCCCTCCACACGCAGTGTCCATGGTCACACAGCCCCTCCACACGCACAGCCATGCAGCACTCTGCACATGGCATCCACAGCCCCGTGTGGATATTGTGCTGCACAGCCCTGGTCTGATGCCGGCGGCCTGTGCCTTGGAGCCTGTGTGCCACCCACCTGCGCTCTGCGTCCTCCGGTGCAGGCCTCCCCCAGGCTCTTGGGGCGGGGTGGAGGCTGGGGCCTGGGTGGCGGTCCTGAGCTGCCCACCGGCCCAGCACGCGTGGGAACTGAAACCCCCAGGTGGTGGCAGTTGTGAGGGTGGCAAACTGAAACCCGGGTGGTTTCCATCACCGGCTCCTGGCACCTGGGGAAAGTGGCTGAGCACCCACCAAGGCAGGCAGCCGCCTGCTGGGACCTGGGGGTGGCCGAGCCCCACCCCCGGTGGGTGCCCCTCCCCGCGAGGTCCTTCCCCCTGTACACCGGGCACCTAGCCTCCTCATGGCCCAAGGTGGCTGCCCCTGCCCAGTGGCGATGCCCGCATTTGCCCCACTGGGAGAAGACGAGGCTCCTAAGTGGACCCCGGGCTCTGCTGTGGCAGCTGGCTGGGCTGGGCATGCAGGGCCAGCCATGCCGGGATACTGAGGCACCAAGGACCCAGTTGCCCCCCTGGGTTTCCTGTACCCAGCAAAGGCCCCACCCCACCTCCACCCCCGCCAGGGGGCGGCCTGGGCTCCGCCCGCCCTGGGGAACCGTCTCCGGTGGTGTGGGTGCCTAGCCCTGAGTTCAAACCTCCTATCCAACATGGGGACAGACAGGGGCTCAGGGGCAGGGCTTGTATCGTCTTCTGCACCGCAGCCTCCCCTGGCCCTGCCCAGGCCCCCGCGGAAACCACGGTCCCCGGAGACAGGCGGGGAGGGGGACAGGGAGGGGCGAGGGGCGCGGCCGAGCGGGGCAGCGGGGCAGCGGGGCCTCCGGCGCTGAGCCCGCAGGGGTCCCGAGCAGGATGGGCGCGCCGGCCTCCAGGCCGCTGGACAAGCAGCAGCAGCAGCGTGTGAGGGGTGAGTGGGGCGTCCTCCCCGGCCGGCCGGGCTGTGCGGGGCCCCGGGGCCCCCGTGGGGAGAGACCCCGCGTGCGCCGGGCCGGGCGCGGGCCCGCACAGGGTAGAAGCTGCGCCTCTGGTGGAGGGCGGGAGGCGGAGGCGGAGCACCTGGGACGCGGGAACTGCCTTTTCTGGTCGTTCTCCCGTGGGCCGGCCTTCCCGTCCCGTCCCGTCCCGGGAGCGAGCCCGGCCGCCCGGCCCCGCTCCGCCGCGC